GCCGGCAACGCGGCCTCAATGCGAGCGCCAGGGACTCCCTTGAACACAACAAACGGTGGCAGCTTTCGTCCCGAAGCCGTCACGGCGAAACATACGGCGATACGCGGGTTGTTTGACGAGCAGGTACGCACGGACACCGTCTAGGAGCCTCTGTGGGCGACGGTGGTGTGAATATTTCGCTTAAAGTAGACCGGCGTCTCGTCAATGGTGATGACATGGTCCCAATCGAGGCCTTCCAATGTACCAAATGGCAAAAAGAGTTCGCACACCGAGGCCACAAAGTCGTTTCGCGTCGTGGCCAAGGTGGAAGACACCTTCTGCCCTTCGCGCGCCGGACGACGGATGCTGAACGTGTTTCAGCGCAGGAACTGGTACACCCAAGATGTGAGTGCCTTGGTTTTGCCGCCATGAAAATCAGGGTTAATTCTTTGAGCCTTGAGCACCAGCATCATCGTACTGATGGTAACGTCGTGTTCACGTAGATACTGAAAATACTCAAGAACTTGTGCTTCCACGACAGAGCGGGCAACTGCACGGCCAGCATGCGTAGAACTGAGACCGGGCGACCGCGGCATGGCAGCCTTCAGCTTCTCGTAATCGCGGACCCAGCGGAGTACTTGGTTGCCTTGCACGCCATACTTCTTAGCGAACATGTAGACGCTGGTGCCGTCGCAATGGTGCTGTTTCACCACGTCGAGTTTTTTTGTGACGGTGAGGTGCCGTCTTTTGCGGCTGGTGCGAGGCATTCACAAGCTCTCACGACGTGACCAATCATAGGTTGAGCGGGAAGTTTGGATTTCAAACTTTAGTTGTATTTCTATCCAATCACAGAGTGCCACCCTTGACATCCCAGAATTGGTTTTGTCGTTGTCTTGCACCAAAAACCTGATCTTAAATCCGACATTTTTCATGGTGCAGGAGTTCGACAAATACGGTACTCTCACGACCGCACTGCATACAAAGATCGCACATCTTGAAATGTCATGAGGGGAGGGGGTGAATGCGAAAATTCGCGGCCAGCCACTCGGAACACCGCCATGCGAGTGCCAACAATGTCGCCAGATTTGGAGTAATTCCCACGGGTCCCCCCAACGTCTTATCGCTGTGGTTGGCGTAGTGAGCACAACCTATTCAGCCGCAAGTGTGCAGCACATCCGGGGCGTTGCTGGGGCTCCGTCTTAGCTGGGTCAGTCAATATCCCCCTCGAGCTTGCCTTTGCCTCGAGTACTGTAGAGCCTTGAACCAACCATTGTCGGACTTGATTGCTTGCTATCTCATCTCGTACCTTGCCCATTTACCCGAGTCGGCGGTGACCAGATTTACGACCAGACAAAGGAAGTCACTCCAAGTAAACTACTGTAGCCGCATGAGTTGTCGGCTGCGTCGTTGGTGGTCGACTCGAGCAGGCAGCGAAACCTCAAGAAATTTGAGGAGGAAATCAATAACGTCGCACGACGGGGGCACGAAGGGGACTCGGCCCGGACGTAGCCCTTCTTTGCAGTCCACTCCGCCCCTCGTTTGGATCTGGAGGTATACTGCCGGGTGATTCCTCCCAGTCTCGTTTCTTTGTGACGGTCGTGAGAAATCCTCGAACGCGATCCTACAAAACGGAAAGTTTGCACTTTGACGGGTGGCCACCAAACGGCGAGCCTTGGCACGACACTCTCCAAGCAACATGGCGTTCCAACATCACAACTGCAATTGGCCTGACAAAGTGCAGCAGCTACATCGAGCCCCGTGTTCTGATGCCGTGGGGTCGTTCACG